CCATCCCCCACCTTCCCCATCCCCCACCTTCCCCATCCCCCACCTTCCTTATCCCCCACCTTCCCCACCCCCACCTTCCCTACCCCCCACCTTCCTCATTCCCGCCTTCCCCACCCCCCACCTTCCCCCCCCCCCCCTTCCCCCTCCTCCACCTTCCCCATCCCTTATCTTCCCCACCCCCACCTTCCCCACCACCCGCTTCTTGGTTTTTCCCTGTGACCTTTATCACCACCTGCCTCACTTGTTTGTTTATTGTCTGGGAGGACAGGAGTTTTTCTTTTGTGGTGTTTTACTGCCGGAGGCTGGATCTGGGCTTGGTACTTTGTAGGTGCTCAGCAAACCCTTGTGGAGTGAGTGGATGAATAGACAGACTTTGTCCTCTTTCTTGCAAATCCAGGAGACTGTGCTTGCTTACCTTTCCAGGTCAGGTCAGAGGCTGATGTCACCAACAGAAATCCTCCCTAATGACCAAGTGCCACATCCACGGTCACAACAGCAATGTCTGCTGTGTCTCCCACCTCCGGGCTCAGGTGAGAGAGCAGTCATTCTCACACAGGGGAGATTTTATCTCCCAGAAGATATGGCCATAGCTGGAAACATTTTTGTTGTCCCCACTCTGGAAGGGGCAGGGCTGGCGCTGGAATGCCATAGATAAGAGGCCAGGGATATTGGCAAACACCCCGCAATGCACACTCATGCAGTCCAGCGAGCCAGCAGTACAGAGGTTGGGAAACCCTGCATTCGCAACGCTTGGATTTGAATCCTGGCTTTGCCAAATGCCAGCATTCTGATCGTGAGCAAGTTACGTGCACTCAGCCTCACTTTCCAAATCTGTCAAGTGGGGATAATAATAGGCGCCCCACTCTGTAGGATTGTTGGTTGCCTCAAGCGCAGCTGGAGTGGAATCAGGGAGTGGGGAGATGAGGTCCGAGGCTGGTGGGCGGAATCGTGTTTGTGATGTCCATTGCGACTTGGTGGCTTACCCAAGGCTAGTTGTAGCTAGCAGTGCCAGGTTGTAAGGTGGGACTCTAGAACTTTATTTTCTGGCTGGATCAGCTGGATGGGCCACTTTCTCCCCTGCATGGGCCCTGTCCTAGAACCGTATCCTCACCTGAGCCTGTGACTCACCTGGGTTGGGCCAGCATTTGTGGGAGGTAGGGAAGGGCAGGTGTGACTTATAAGTGAAGGAGATCTGCCGGCTCGGAACCATGTCCTAAAGTGTCTGTGCAGTGCACAGCTTCCTCTCAGCCTCCTCCGAGTGGGAAGCAGCATGTGGACCCTGGCTCTGATGCTCCTCGCAGCAGCCTGCTTGTTCTCGCTGGGGGTCGCTCTGTGGGTCATTTGCAGCCATTTTTTCATTGTGCACATCCCTGCAGCGATTGGCCACCCTGTGAAACTGAGAGTCCTCCATTGCATATTCCAGCTGCTGGTGACATGGGTGAGTTTTGTGTTTTATGTGTCCCCTCCTGCTGAGTATTAAGGAAGGGGGCAGGAGAAAGCACACGCCAGAAGCTTCTAGCTGAATGAACATCGATATCATGGGACCCACAGTGACGGCTGATCACCCCTTCTCAAACCTGCGTTATCACGTGGTTCATAGCCTCTTTTGGTGTTTATGAAGCTCGCTGGGCTAATATCCACAAAATTCAAAGAATGATCTGCTTTCTCAGTTCACAGAAGGAAAAAACAAGTCTGGTTCTATCCACCTGCATGTCTCCCATTTGACTTTCTTTTTTTTTTTTCTTTCTTTCTTTTTTAATAGACACAGGGTTTCTCCATGTTGGTCAGTCTGGCCTCGAACTTCCCGACCTCAGGTGATCCGCCTGCCGCGGCCTCCTAAAGTGCTGGGATTACAGGCGTGAGCCACCTCGTCCAGCCTGACTTTCTTTTTTGTGTTGGTTTGTTTTATTTTTTTAAACTGAGGTAAAACATTCATATAAAATGTACCATTTTTGCTATTTTTAAGTGTACAGCTCAGTGGTAATAAATGTGTCTATGTTATTAGCAGCACTCAGCACTCTCAGAAGCTGTGACGACAGGAATGAGTTTTCCTGAATCTCTGAGCCCCAGTTGCTATTTACCTGCTAGCTAGAGCCAGCAAGCCACAAAATAAATGGGTAGCAGATGAGTAAATTAGTGCCGGTGAGCAAAACTACAGTTTATGACTTTAAAAATATATTGTTGTTTTTGAGAGATAGAAAGCTGCCTAGGTAATATAATTTGATGCTGCTCCTGTTGTAATTTGTTAAAATCCCTGTAAACGGAACTGTGTCGGTATTGCCAATATGGATTTCTTGTACCTTTTCAGAGGGTTGACGGAAATTGAATATACAAAATATTTCTTGTAAGTTTCTTACAAAATGAAAAGCAATTGCCAGGGCCTCTTCTCCAGAGACACCTTAGATGTCTCTTCTATACTATTTAGAAGAATGTGGGTCTCTTGGGGGATAGGGGGCTAGGGGAGGGACAGCATGGGGTGGGGAGGTTGGGGAGGGATTACATTGGGAGAAATGCCTGATGTAGGTGACGGGGGGATGGAGGCAGAAAACCACCATGGCATGTGTGTACCTATGCAACAATCCTGCAAGATCTGCACATGTACCCAAGAACTTAAAGTACAATAATAAAAAAAAAAAGAATGTAGCTATTATCTAAAAGAGAAGAGCCCAAGGCCTCTGATCTCCAGAGTCAGACGCAGTGATTGGCTCCCAGGTGTTCCTGGCCTTGACGCTCATATTCTGTAGTCCAGGGTCCCAAATACAGTGACTTGATTTCTTCCTTTGCAAAGTGGGGAGAATTGCCCCTACTTCACAACATTTTGTGGGGACTCCGTGAATCACCCTCTCCAGAGGGCGACGCCTGGCACAGAGGGAGCCCTCTGTAAATACTAACCATGGTTACTCTCTGTTGACTCATTGCATCCTGCACCAATTCTGGGCGCCAGGGTCAATGGCAGGTGAGAGGGAGAACGTCCCCCCAGGTCTGCCTTTAGGGAGCTTGTAGGCTCCAGCCAGTGGGGGCAGGGAATCGGTCCATAAAGGAGCAAACCCACAAGCGAACAAGCTCCAGATAAATAGCTTCCCAAAGTGGAGAACACCAGGAAGACAGCAGAGCCCATGAGGTGAGCCCAGCAGGGCTTCTCACCTAGGGCTCCCTGAGCCCCCCTAGGTCATGGAATACAAGGGGCTCGTGGACTTGGATGGGGTCAAAATTAGCCCATTTTCACGGCTGACCTCCAGTCGAAATTCCTTCCACGAGGACTGAAGGCAACAAACCACAGTACTGAAAGCCAGACCTCGACTTTGTCACCAAGAGGAGTCACAGCTATTTGCATAGCCTATTTGACATTGGAAAACTCATGTATTCTCCTCTTTCCTTTGAAACTAGGGTACCATCAGGCAGCAGCTAGATCTTATTACTCAATGTGCTGATAAGGAAGTACCTGTATTATCACATCATACACTTTAATATTTTGATAAGGACACTCAAAACTGCTTTCCTTTATAATCCCACATATTTATTTTATGTATTTAAAAATGCTCTGGGCTGGGTGTAATGGCTCACACCTGTAATCCAAGCACTTTGGGAGGCGGAGACAGGAGGATCCTTTTGAGTCCAAGAGTTTGAGACCAGCTTGGGCGACACAGTGGGGCCTCCATCGCTCTAAAAAAAAAAAAAGTTCTGAAATGAGGCCCTTCACCCATGGCCAAAACGGCTGTGACACAGAAAAGGATTACACAACACTGGAAGGCTACCCAGAGAGACAGCCTGCTTTATTTGCATATTTTTAACTCTTTTTTTTTTTGACCTGGAGTTTTGCTCTTGTTGCCCAGGCTGGAGTGCAGTGGTGCGATCTCAGCTCACTGCAACCTCTGCCTCCCAGGTTCAAGAGATTCTCCTGCCCCAGCCTCTCAAGTAGCTGGGATTACAGGTGCCTGCTACCATGCCTAGCTAGTTTTTGTATTTTTAGTAGAGACGGGGTTTCACCATGTTGGCCAGGCTGGTCTCAAATTCCTGACCTCAAGTGATCCACCCGCCTTGGCCTCCCAATGTTGGGATTACAGGCATGAGCCACGATGCCTGGCTGTATTTTTAACTCCTTGTGCAAACTTTGACATATACCAAACGGGAACAGAGTGCCCACCCTCCAGCGCTGCCATCGCTGACTCCTGGCCCATCTCCCTTCCCTGTGTCCCTGACTTTCCCCTCATTTCCATTTATTTAAGAAGCCAGTCTTGGACATCGTAGTATTTTATCCTCAAATTCTTCAGTAGGTATTTTCAAAGATATAAACTCCCCCTTCCTGTTTTTAACAAACATAGCCACACTCCAGTTAGCTACATATGCTTGGGTGGCCAGATTGGCTGGGACAGCACAGGAAGGCCTTCCTGGAAACGTGTGGCACCCAGGACGAGGTGGAGCAGGGCCTCGTGGTGGAGGGGGGGTGTTGCAGGTAGAGGGACCATCAGGGTGCCCAGAAGCCTGGCTCGTAGTGGCTGCAGTGTAAGGTGTCAGGAGAGTGGGTTGGGCAGGGCTGGCTGGTGCTGTAGCCACATAGGCCTGCGTGGGAGTGGATTTTCCTGCAGGTGTCCTGAGAGCACGGAGGGGTTGAGCAGGGCTGTGTCCAGTCTAACTGCTGTTTCCTCAAATGCCTTTTGCCACTTGTGAAGGGCAGGTCTGAGGGCCAGGCTCCAGACGGCCTATGCAGAAACCCATCTCAACTCATTTCTTCTTCTTTCTCCAACAGGGGATGATTTTTGAGAAGCTCAGAATCTGTGCTATGCCCCAATTTATCTGTTTCATGCAAGATCTGCGGCTGCTGAAGTACGATCCCGACGTTGTGGTTACAGATTTACACTTTGGGACAATCCCTGTGAAGCTGTACCAGCCCAAGGCATCCAGCTGCACCCTGAAGCCTGGCATCGTGTACTTCCACGGTGGCGGGGGTGCCCTAGGGAGCTTGAGTAAGAACCCCTTTCTCAGACCTCCCAAACGGTGATGGCACCCCTTAACATAACTTGAAAGAATGGGATCTTCCTGGGACATAACGTTTGCTATCATGACCAGGGAACACCAGGGCAGTTCATGGTTTGCAGGTCATTCAGGGGAAAAAATACGGAATATATTGCCCTCTTATACATCTCCTTATTCACATAACTGTAATCTTTTTTTTCTTTTTTTTTGAGACGGAGTTTCACTCATGCTACCCAGGCTGGAGTGCAATGGCACGATCTCGGCTTACCACAACCTCCGCCTCCTGGGTTCAGGCAATTCTTCTGCCTCAGCCTCCTGAGTAGCTGGGATTACAGGCACGCGCCACCATGCCCAGCTAATGTTTTGTATTTTTAGTAGAGACGGGGTTTCACCATGTTGACCAGGATGGTCTTGATCTCTTGACCTTGTGATCCACCCGCCTCGGCCTCCCAAAGTGCTGGGATTACAGGCTTGAGCCACCGCGCCCGGCCATAAATGTAATCCTTAGTGAAATTAACAATACTGTAATATAAGGAAGGAAACTGTAAGGTAATGACCCTGAAATGTACCCCTACCTGCATTTATATGTGTACATATGTATATACATATATATACGTAGATATCGCTACCTTATCGTTACCACCTCTATTTAGTTGGAGATAAGGACATCTTAAATGAAAAGAATTAAAACACAGCATTTCGTTTCACATCAGGTTTTGTTAAGACAAATTCTGGTACAGACAAACAGGAAGATTTGAGAAAAATCAATGAGAGGAAAAAGTCACTATTGAGACAATTTTACTATCTTAATTGTTACCCCTGGGGAATTAGGGTAGGGGGACACTTTGATTTGCTTTCAGCAGTGCTTTCTAATCTGTGGAATGCCAGGGTCCCAGTGTGGCAGCCTTTGAGAATAAGGGGTTTCATGCAATGGAGACGTTGGTTTGGTCTGTATGAGAATGATGCTAACAGCTAATATTTATTAATCAATATTTATTAATATGACTAATTACATGCAGGCACTGTGGGAACCCTATATGTCGATGATCTCATTCCTACTCCAGCACTCTATGAGTTAGATATTATCATCATCCCAGCTCACAGACGAGGAAATTGCAAGGCACTATGTTAGCTGCAGCTAGAAGGAGGCAAAGCTGAGGTTCGAACTCCAGTCTGTCTGAATCCAGAGCTCATACCCTAAACCACTGCACTCTACAGTCAAACAGCTTCGCAGATATTTTTAATGACTTGTAGGATGGATCAGAGGGTGGGCATCTTAGAGAAAGTTGCTCAGGCAGTACCACGGAGGAGAGCCAGTGAGAAGCTTGGCCGGAAGTTTGCTGGAATAGGGGAACTGGAGTAGGGGAAAATCTAGTCAGTGTCAGCCCAAGTGCTGTGTGTGTAGGAAGAAGACAGTGACAATGGCTGGCAAAGGAAGCCTTCCTAGTGAATGTCAAACACCATTTATTTTCTAGAAACCCACCATGGCATATGCTCTCGTTTGTGCAAGGAGAGTGACTCCGTGGTTCTGGCAGTTGGGTGAGTAAAGGGGAGATGCCGGGGAGCCAGCAGGGAGCAAGGCTCTGATTTGGCGAGATGGGGTGGGAAATAGAAATGGGGGTGAGGTGGCCGGGCACAGTGGCTCGCACCTATAATCCCAGCACTTTGGGAGCCCGAGGTAGGTGGATCACGAGGTCAAGAGATCGAGACCATCCTGGTCAACATGGCGAAACCCCGTCTCTACTAAAAATACAAAAATTAGCTGAGCATGGTGGCGTGTGCCTGTAATCCCAGCTACTCGGGAGGCTGAGGCAGGAGAATTGCTTGAACCTGGGAGGTGGAGGCTACGGTGAGCCGAGATCTTGCCACTGCACTCCAGTGTGGGTAACAAGAGGGAAGCGCCATCTCAAAAAAAAAAAAAAAGAAAGAAAGAAAGAAAGAAATGCGGGTGAGGGGTGGGAGCAGATGGGAGCTGGAGGAAGCCCAGAGGAGGGGATGGGCTGAGAGAAGCCAGTGAAGAAAGACGTGGCTGGGTGTGGTGGCTCACGCCTGTAATCCCAGCACTTTGGGAGGCCACAGCAGGCGGAATGCTTGAGCCCAGGAGTTCAGACCAGCCTGGGCAACATAGTGAGACTTCATTTTTACAAAAAACACAAAAATTAGCCAGGTATGGTGGCATATGCCAGTGGTCCCAGCTACTTGGGAGGCCGAAGTGGGAGAAGCACCTGCGCCTGGGAGGTTGCAGTGAGAGAACCTGATTGCACCATGACACTCAGCCTGGGTGACAGACAGGAATCTGTCTTAAAACAAACAAAACACAACAAAAAAAGAAAAAGAAGTGAGAGAAAATATGGGGAGATGAAGAGAGAGGGAGAGACAGACGATGGGAACCCCTTCCTCTGTGCATGTGGGCCTTGGGTTTATTTAAACAGAGGCGTTTTGTGCATTTGGAAGGTGGGCAGGAAGGAGGTGGCCTTTTTAAAGCAGACCAGGTGCAGAGTTTCACTGCAAGAACACTTGGGTGGCACAACTCTTCTTTGAGTAAGACAGCCCTGCCCTTCCCTCTGCTAAATGCCGGTGGTACCCTGTACCATCACTCAACCTCAAATGCTGCCACATTCATTTCCAAGTGTTCCCATAAGGGAGGTTCCACGCCTGGTTGAGACCCACTAGAGAAGGTGAGAAAAACAAAAACAAACCCATTGTCTGTCCTGACGGGTCTCTGACAGTCACCCACCCCTCCTGGAGCCTCAAAGACGGCATGGTGGGCGCTGGGCCCCTGTCCTACCGCCTGATGCAGCATCACACAGGTGCTTCCTCCTGATAAGTTTCCCTGTAGTTTCATTTAAAGGTACACATTCGAAAGAAATAGCTGTTCTAGCTGGGGGCGGTGGCTTATGCCTGTAATAACAGCACTTTGGGAGGCTAAGGCAGGTGGATCACCTGTGGTCAGCAGTTCGAGACCAGCCTGGCCAACAAGGAGAAACCCTATCTCTACTAAAAATTAAAAAAAAATTAGCTGGGTGTTGTGGTGGTCACCTGGAATCCCAGCTACTCGGGAGGCTGAGGCAAGAGAATTGCTTAAACCTGAGAGTCGGAGGTTGCGGTGAGCAGAGATTGTGCCATTGCACTCCAGCCTGGGAGACAGAGTGGGACTCTGTCTCAAAAGAAAAAGAAATGTCAGTTGTCTGCATCTCAGTTGGGGTACATCTCCTAGCTTTCCTGTGACACAGCTATCTGAGGAGAGTGAAAAATGAAGAGATGGAGCCGGTGTGGCGGCTCACGCCTGTAATCCCAGCACTTTTGGAGGCCAAGGTGGTTGGATCACTTGATGCCAGGAGTTTGAGGCCAGCTGGGCCAACATGGTGAAACCCCGTCTCTACAAAAAATATGAAAATTAACCAGGCGTGGGGGCATGTGCCTGTAATCCTGGCTACTCAGGAGGCTGAGGCAGGAGAAGCGCTTGAACCCGGGAGGCAGAAGTTGCAGAGCCAAAATGGTGCCACTGGACTCCAACAACCTAGGTGACAGAGTGAGACTCCATCTCAAAAAAAAAAGTGAAAAGGTTAGATGACAAACCTGGCTAAACCCTGACTTTATAGTTCTCAGCTCCCAAGGAGTTTCACTGTGGGATGTTGCTAGACACCTTATCATTCTGCTTGTGCCAAAGCAAGAGATCATCGGTAAAACATGCCAGCAAGTCTCTGCCAGAAAGTTATTTTCTAAATCCAAGGTAGACAGGATTTTGGAGTTAAGGGTATTGCTCTCCAGGAATATCTATTGCCAGGTGGCCTGAAATGGGGATATGGAATGGAAACGGCTGATGGAATATTTATTTGTTGGTCCCATAGAGTGTTTCTTTTTCTTTCTTTTTTTTTTTTTTTTTTTTTTGGTTGGGGGGCTGGTGGTGGAGTCTCGTTCTGTTGCCCAGGCTGGAGTGCGGTGGCGTGATCTTGGCTCACTGCAACCTCTGCCTCCCGGGTTCAAGCGATTCTCCTGCCTCAGTCTCCCAAGTAGCTGGGACTACAGGCACACACCACCACGCCCAGCTAATTTTGTAATTTTAGTAGAGATGGGGTTTTACCATGTTGGTCAGGCTGGTCTTGAACCCCTGACCTCATGATCCGCCCACCTTGGCCTCCCAAAGTGCTGGGATTACAGGCGTGAGCCACTGCGCCTGGCCTCTTTTTCTTTTTATAAATTTGTGGCCAGCATTTAAAAATAGTGAACTTTCTCACAAAATCTGGATTTCTGGAATCTCTTAGCAATACCAGGTAGGCACGGCAGCAATGGTGTTGAGTGAGCGTAGCTCATTTGGAAGAGAGCTGTGTATCTCTGGCCTCTGGTGGTACAGCGAGTCCTCGATGCTGTCGATAGGTTCTTAGAACTGTGACTTGATGAAGTTAAACCAATTTTACCTATTAATTTACCTAGGCTAATTGATATAAATAAGAATTAAGCACTGATGGTATAATTCTGGTCACAAAAACACCAGCAAACTTACTTAAATTTTTTAAAATTTATTTTACTGCTTTTATATTTTATAATTTTCTTTAATAGAGACGAGGTCTTGCCATGTTGCTCGGGCTGGTCTCAAACTTCTGAGCTCTGGCAGTCCTTCTGTCTCAGCTTCTCAAAGTGCTGAGATTACAGGCACAAGCCGCTATGCCTGGTCTAAACTTCTAAATGAAGACCAAAAACTGATAATATTAAAAATTCAGATAAATGTGAGCTATACATATATTTTTAAAAGATTAATATAAACAAAAATATTTATCCAATTTTCGGCGAATCAATGGGCGATGGTGGTCATTGCGGTGAAGGGTTAAATCTAGCAATAAATATTTTCAAAGCAAAAATTGTCAGGAGTACCTCTGACCACCTCCCAATTCAAAAACAAACACAAATGTGGCAGGCTCATTGAAAGCTTCTGTACTGCATCATTTATTTTTGTGCAGATGTACGATTATGGTACACTTTGTGCATTTGTTTTTTTTTTTAGCTTGGTCTCACTCTGTCACCCCGGCTGGAGTGCAGTGGTGTGATCTCGGCTCACTGCAACCCTGCCTCCCAGGCTCAAGTGATTCTCATGCCTCAGCCTCTTGAGTAGCTGGAACCACAGACGCGCACCACCACGCCCGGCTAATTTTTTCTATTTTTGGTAGAAGCAGGGTTTCACCATGTTGCCCAGGCTGGTTTTGAACTCCTGAGCTCAGGCAATCCATCTGCTTTGGCCTCCCAAAGTGCTAGGATGACAGGCTCAAGCCACCGTGCCCGACCAACTTTATGCATTTTTATTTTGCAATAATTTGTCTTCCTTCATCTATTCATTTTCCAACTCCCTTATTCCAGTTGAGGTCCGGGCTGGCTGGAGCCTATCCCTGCAGCTCAGGGAACAAGGCAGGAACCAACCCTGGACGGGACACCCCTCCTATCGCAGGGAACACTCACACGTGCACCCACATTCACTTGGACCGGGGCAATTTAGAGATGCTCATGAATGTAACATACACATCTTTGGGATGTGGGCGGGAACTGGAGGATCTGGAGAAAACCCACATGACATGGGGAGAATGTGCGAACTCCACATGAACAGTAGTAGCTCAGGCTACAATCATTTTTCTTTCTTCCATCAATATCATGAAACAACATTGAATGAAATGACATTATTTGAGGGCCTACTTTTTTTTCTTCTTTGAGACAGGGTCTCGCTCTGTCACCAAGGCTGGAGTGCAGTGGCATGATCACAGCTCACTGCAGCCTCAACCTCCCAGGCCCAAGCCATCCGCCTGCCTCAGCCTCCTGAGTAGCTGGGACTACAGGCATCCACCACCACACCCAGCTAATATTTTGTGTTCTTTGAAGAGATGGGTTTTCACCATGTTGCCCAGGCTGAACTTGAACTCTTGGACTCAAGTGAACAGCCCACCTCGGCCTCCCAAAGTGCTGAAATTAAAGGTGTGAACCACTGACCTGGCCGACTGGCTGTGTTTAAGTCTACAAGATCCCCCCAACAAAATCTGTGGGTATGGCATGATTAATTAAAAACATAAGCAAGCCTTGAAGATGCTTATACAAGAATCCTAAAACAGGAGGCAGGAGCAGGTGAGTCAGGGAAGCAGCATAAGGTAGGTTCAGAAAGATGGGGCTAGAGTTGGTGATATTTACATTGTTGGCCAATTGGTAGAAGTCTTGTGACACAGGTTCCCCATTAGGGCATTGAGACAATAGGAATGGCACCTGCCAAGTTATGTGGGCTGTATGTGTCTCATCTTATTTAAGCCTCACACCTAACTTTACCCGCTCAAGTTTCAGAAAGGGAAGTGAATCGACTAATTTGGGCTAAAAGATGCTAGGTGCTGATATTTTTGGATCTGCCGGGGCGTTGAGTATCAACTGTTTCTTGATTCCTTTTTAGTTACCGCAAGTTACCCAAATATAAGTGTCCAGTGTCAATAAGAGACTGCTTGGCGGCCACCATCCACTTCCTGAGGTCCCTACATGCATATGGAGTGGATCCAGCCCGGGTTGTGGTCTGTGGCGACAGTTTGGGAGGGGGAATAGCCACAGTGGTTTGTCAAAAACTTGTGAACATGCCAGATCTGCCCCGGATCCGGGCTCAGATCCTGATCTATGCCGTTCTCCAAGTCCTAGATTTTCAGACCCCTTCCTTTCAGCAGAGAAAGAACATCCCGATGCTCTGCTGGAGTTTCACCTGGTACTGTTTTTCTCACTATCTGGATATCAGCTCCTCCTGGCAAGAGGTCATCATGAAAGGTGCCCATTTGCCTGCCAAAGTCTGGGAAAAGTACAGAAAGTGGTTGGGCCCAGAAAACATCCCGGAGAGGTTTAAGAGCGGCTACCAACAGAAGCCCCACGAGCCCGTGAATGAAGCTGCTTACTTGGAACTAAGTGTTGTCCTGGATGTGATGTGCTCGCCCCTGATTGCAGAAGATGACATAGTGTCTCAACTCCCGGAAGCTTGCATCGTGAGCTGTGAGTATGATGCCCTCCGGGACAGTTCACTGTTGTACAAGAAGAGGCTGGAAGACCTGGGAGTGCCTGTGACCTGGCACCATGTGGAGGATGGTTTCCACGGAGTGCTCAACACCATTGACCTGAACTTCTTGTACTTCCCCAGCTCCACGAGAATTCTGAATGTGTTAACCCATTTTATAAAGGGACTGTGACCATCTTTCTTCTCTGCTGGTGCTGTGGTGTGGATTCCACGGTCATCCAGCCTCCCACAGGACTCTCTGTTGCTGATTTAGGTGGTGCATAGTGAGGCTAGGGAGCAGATGGAGGTTGCTGTCTCCTTTCTGATCTAGGTTCTAGAACCACACAATGTCCAGAGGATGCCATAGAGAAGACAGGTTTGCAGGTGGGGGTGGGGCTCTCTGTCTTTGGCCTCTATTGGGAAAACATGTGGGGACAATCTACAGTGGCCATTTGTGGGAGTGAATCACAGGTAAGGACTGTTCTCAGCCTCCCTAAGGGGCAGTTCAGACTCTCCAGATTGATACAGACTGTGGGTGACTTGTGTCCACTTGGCTGGACCTTGGAATAGCACAAGAGGATCACATACAATCTCACGGGACCTTCCCAAGCTGTCTCAGAGGCAGGAGCTCTGATGCTCCAGGCTGCTGGGAGGTGGTAGTGGTGGTGGAGAAACTGGCTGTCACCCACCGTCTCTTCTGTAATGACTTTTCCTGCTGTTTCTCAGCCCCTGGGATCAGAGTCTTGACTGCCTGGGCTGGAAAAGCTAAGGCAGAATTGATAGAACTTCCACAGTGGTTAGCATCTAGCAGTAAATAAAGACGTCTTGCAGCTGCCGGACTTGGGGAGGCTCTGGAGCTCCTGGAATCAAAGCCTGGCTTCCAACCAGAAGCCCGAAATCAGTGTTCTAACAGTTTGAGGAGAGAAGTTGGGAGGGAAGTGGGGTCCTGAGTCAGAGACCCACGAAGGCTGAGTCTAACCAGATAACCCTGTCCACAGTGCAAAGTCAAGACAGCCAAAGGGACAGAAGATGTATTGGTGAGAACGATTTCTTTTTTAAGACATGGAACCAACTCAAATTGACCTCCATCAGAAAGAGAATGGATTGGCTTAGGTAGCAATGCATGCTAGGCATCCATCAGGCAAGGTTTGATCCAGGAACTCACACAGTGCCATCAGCTGTCCTGTCTTCTCTGCTCTGCTCTTCTCTCCTCTGTGTTAATGCCGCCTTCACCTCTCCATACGGTGGTACTGAGAAGTTTCATGCTTACCTTCTCCCAGGGTCGAGTTAATTATCATGTAGTTGCCTCATTCTCAGCAGTCCCAGCAAAAACCTTATGGCAACTTGATGGCTTTGTTGGCTTTCTGAGCAATGTGTCCAGTTGCCACAACCAAGGGAATGGAATGTTCTAGCTGACCATTCCCAAGTTCTATGTCATCTGGAAGTGGAGGGTGGAGTCAGTTCACCATGGTGCTTAGACTAAGCATGAAATGGTGAGTGACAGCTTCCCTAATCGAAGGGTAAATTACAGAAGCTAAACTGAACCCTCAGGCAGGGTACGTGGAAGTGGCAAGAAATGTCAAGGTCCACTGGGCAAGTTGGCCAACTGCTCCTTAGGAATGAAAATTCATTTGAAAGGAATGGTCAGGCTCCCATGCTGGCCCCATCTGGTCTTCTGGAGGCTCTGATCTTGGTTAGTGAGTGGTCTTTACAGGCTAAGGTCAAGGCGATTGCATAAAAAACCCCGTGGATGCCCTTAATTTGCTTTCAGTTGAACATTTGGGCTGAACTATGAGGCAGAGAGGAATCCAGTTGACCAGAAGGTGGTTTGTTGGAGAAATAGGAATCATCCCCTGAAAACACACTCTGTGGTAGCCACTTGACTGTTGAAGAGCACTGGAGTCCAAGGGGCGAGGCCTCCTCTGAGACAGGCCTCTGAGTTGAGAATTTTCTTGTTTCACCCCTGCCTCTGGAGATGTGTAGAGGAACATGAACTGACCTTCTGGGAAGCTGCGGTGGCAAGGAGTTGCTGAGGCACTGCAGGGCCGTGCCCAGCTGAGAGGAATGTATAACCTTTTAAGAGGCTGAGAGCGCCCCTGATTGGGCTCTTGCCCATGGCAGCTGCCTTCTGCAGATCGTGGGAGAATCAAGCACTTTCACCTAACGGCTGGATGATTGATTTTGGGACCGAATTCTCCACTCCTCTCCTTTGCCCCATCACCACTATCCTTCCTGCAATCCATCCACGAGACTCAGTTTGTGGAAAAGGGATAGGATTGAATGTTCACCCAGGGCCAGCTACACGCTAGGCACTGTACTGGACCATTTAAGTTTGCCACCTCCTACGTTCCTCACATTAATCCTACAGAGTAGGTAGGGGTCCACCTATGGGATATCACAGCTTCAGTTCCACACCACAGCAATAAAGCAAGTCACATGGATTTTTTGCTTCCCTCAGTGCATATAAAAGTTACACTTTCACTATATTGTTGTTTATGAGTGTGCAATAGCATTATGTCTTTAAAAAGCATGTACACCCTTAATTTAAAAATACCTTGTTGATGAAAAATGCTAACAATCATCTGAGCCTTCATCATTGCAGTAGCCTGGGCTACTACTGTCTCTGTGGCGTTTGCACGTTCTCCCCATGTCTGCATGGTTTTCTCTGAGTTTTCCGGCTTCCTCCCACATTCCCAAGCTGTGTATGTTACATTCATGGGTCTGTCTAAATTGTTGTAATCTTTTTGCTGGTTGGTGGTCTTGCCTTGATGTTGATGGCTGCCCAGCGATGCAGGTGGTGGTTGCTGAAGGCTGGGGTGGCTGTGGCAATTTTTCTTTCTTTTCTTTCTTTCTTTCTTTCTTTCTTTCTTTCTTTCTTTCTTTCTTTCTTTCTTTCTTTCTTTTCTTTTTTT